GCTTTGTGGTGACGCCGCCCTCATCAGCAGTGACCCCCTGCACGTCCTCGCCTGTTGTAGCACTGCCTAAATCAACATCAAGTTAAATTTACAATCAAGTTCTCCAACACAACACTCGGGTTATCACTGAGGAATTGTCAGAGTATCAACCTCTCCATCGCCCTCTGCTTGCATGCGACCTTCGGCAACGCCCTGACCAACACTGCTGCAGCATCGCACGACGTATATCACCTCCTAATTACCGTGTCTACAGGAAATACTTAACAGGTCACCAAAACATTCATATTTTATCAAGACCTTCAATTTTTATATTTTTTAGCACAAAACAGGTAAAAAACAGTATTTTACATTATAATTTACAGACTCTCTGAGGGTGTGGAGGGAAAGACGAAGAACAAACACCAGCCCGTGTTTAATATTCATTCATTGTATGTCTGGTGTGGCTGACTGGGCGTCCCTAGGTCGACAACACCCAAGAGACGACGCTCTCCTGCTGCAGGTTCCCCGACAGGTGGGTGGTGGGTACATACGCTCTAAACTCAACCCACGAAAGAAAATTATTAGTAATTTTTGTTAACTGTCTCGCTCTGTCTGTTCGTTCTTATCTCACTTTTCTATGTCTGTCCAAATCGTTACCCTTTCCACCCACTTCCTCCTCTTTCTATAATCTCTTTCCATCTCTTCTCTGTGTCAGTCTGTCTGTCTCAACCTTTTATTTTCTATTTTTTTAACTATTCTCTAACCATCATCCTCCACCTCTCCACTTATCATCCTATCTCCCATCTCCCTCTTCACCTCTAACCCACAATACCTCCCCATCGTTCTTTACTTTTCCCTCTTCTCTTCTTCCATCCTATCTCCCTGTCTCGCTCTCTTCTTCTTTATTCCCTATTCTCCCTCTATCTCTCTCTCTCTCTCTCCCTCACCTCCCCTCTTTCTCTTCCCCCTCATCAACAAACACGTCACAACACCACACGACCCAACAACTTCCTGCGCGCTACAATTACCACACGCTGGATCTGACCCTAACCCTCACCCTAATCCACACCCTAATCCACACCCTAATCCTCATCTTCATCCTCATCCCATCTCACCCTGACCCTAATCCACACCCTAATCCTCATCTTCATCCTCATCCCATCTCACCCTGACCCTAATCCACACCCGATCTTCACCCTCACCCCACCTTACTCCCACCCTCACCCCACCTTACTCCCACCCTCACCCCATCTTCACCCTCACCTCCCGCTGCTGCCCCTATCACCCCACACACCTCGACCACGTTTCCACACCTCATATAAATGCAACACAGAAAGAAAGAAAAAAAAAACCTTACTGATAGTCTTGTTTTCGTGTGTGTGTGTGTGTGTGTGTGTGTGTGTGACCAGGACCTTGCATTACTAGGAATAAGACACTGAAAGAAGGACACACACACACACACACACAGTCAAGATAAATCTCCACACATTTTCACAATTTACATATTTCCACAGAATCAACCTCGACTAACCCAACCCAACCAAAAAAACAACCAAAAAAAACAACCCCCCACAAAAAAAAATCATAATCACCATCCATATCATATTTCATTATTACTGTCACTTTCACCACCGTTATCACTCTTAAGTATCACCTTCACCCACACCATTACTGTCACCATCAATACAGCTGTAAATATCGTTGCCTCCTGCTTCATCAAGGTGAGTCGTCATTTACCTCACCTTCACCAAACTCTCACACATTCTTCATCTGTGTTAAATATCAAAGATTTTTTTTTCTTTTTTTGCTTAACTTCTTCTTTTCCCTCTTCCTTTCCTTTCTTTATCGGCCTTCCTAGTGCCCCTTCCTATATGTTATTCTTTGTTTCCCTTCCTCCCTTCCACCCCTTTCTCTCCCTTCTCATTTTCTCTCTTCCTTATTCTACGATTCCCTCTTCCTCATCTCATTTCCTCCCATGCTACTCTCCCCCTTCCATACTCCTTCTCATCCCAGTCTTCCTCCCCTTACTATCTCTTCTCCCTATCCACGTCCTGTTATACCTGCCTCTCTACCTCCCCCTACCCTCTCCTCCCCTACCCCCCTCTCCCCCAACTCCTAAAGGGCGTAACCATAGCCAACAACAAGGACAAGGCACACACACACACAGAGCACCTTACAACACCTATTATCTACCCAGTAATAGACCATCATTACAGGTAGACACACCTCCCTCAGTAACCTGCCAATTAAAGGTATTTCCTCACGTGGACACAAGACCTCACCGTACGGGCCTGGTGATCATTACAGCATTGTTTACACCCTGAGTTATGTCCTTATTACAATGATATATTATCTTTCTCTTTACTCTCTCATTGTAGTTTAGTTTCTCCTTCATTATATCATCAACCACTACCCCACCCACCTCCTCCCCCCTTCATAAACAGCAAACACTCACTATTATGTCATTATTTCCTTCATATCACTACAATGATAAACTTCACCGGGAAATTACTTCTTGTTTTAATATTCTATCCAATTACTTTTCTAATTTGTTTATGAGAAATTATAACAGTTAATCACAAATTGTTTTTTATCGAATGTTTTCTTTTTCTTTCTGATTAAACTTTCTGAATATGGTTAGGGAAGTAGGATCTGTAGCGGATAGGAGGGTGTGGGTAGCGGATAGTAGGATGTGGGTAGCGGATAGGAGGGTGTGGGTAGCGGATAGGAGGGTGTGGGTAAGGGACGGGAGAGTTCAGATAGCGGACAGGAAGTAAGAGGTTGATTACGGATGATGACGGAAGTGGTTAAAGAGACAGTAAACAGTGCCTGAAGGAGGAAGACAGTGAACTCCTCCTGCCCCGTCAGTAGCTGTTACCTACCTCCGTCTCGCTCCACAGGTAAACAACAATAGCACTAACAAGCGACACACACACACACACACCAAGACCCCCACGGCGAGCCCTTTGATGAATCACCTGCTCCAGTTCCCTGATTGGCTCTATCACCCCACACACCTTTTCTCCCAACAACCAAACTCCTTAAAGGCCAATTTCCCATAACTAACTACAGGGATTCACGACACTAATCTACCTAAGTGCTTGAGCATCTTCTTGTCTCGATGTGGGTTTTTTTTTTTACCTCTTCGTGTTTGGAAAGACAGATACAATTTTTTTATGGGGGGGTTAGGAGGAGAAATGGAGAGTGAGAAGGAGATGAAGGAAGAGAGAAGGAGTAAGAGAGGGGTAAAAAGGGGAAGGAGGAAGAAAGAAAGGGGGGAAGGAAGTAAGGAGTGAGGGAGAGGGAGTGGAAGGGGGGGGGCGAGTAAGGACAATAAGTGAGACAATTTACACAAGTTATTTTTCCTTCCACTCCTCCATTGATCAGCTGTCACGACCCCCTAATAAATGACAGAGTGAATCACGTATTTATAGACAAGTAATATCACCAGGCAATGATTTATATCTCTCACTAATATTCCTGTTTCTGCGTTCGACAATACAGACGTTTTATTTATTTTTATATATGTTTATTTTGATAGGTTTTGTCCACTCCTTGATGTAATTATTTTTGAATGATTAAACTTTTAGTGTCTGTCTGTCTGTCTGGCTGTATGTATGTATGTGTGTATGTATGTATGTATGTATGTGTGTATGTATGTATGTATGTATGTGTGTATGTATGTATGTATGTACGTAAACAGCTAAAACACAACAAACAATGCAATTCTTAACAGGGGACAAAAACCACAATAAAACAACATGAGAAACACACTGCAGTATAAATGAGTACTGACCCAACACGGACACACAGAAAGACTCAACTTAAACAAAACCTCACGGTGTTCTAAAATAAAATACACGGTTGTTATAGAGCCAATAGAGCCATTAGAGGTCAAATTATGGCTACTTTAGACCCACATCAATGAGTTCACCTGATGGCATTGTCCAATTTATGTAAAATACTGCTCATATATATACCCGAATATACCTCTAAGACAACCTGGGAGAGGAGTATGGACTAAGAGGCCTTGTTATACTTGGATATATGTTGAATTTTAATACCGAAAGCAAGATGCAGCTAACACACACACACACACACACACACACACACACACACGAGTTATTTATGGGAAATGGTACGGCCTTGTTGTGGTCACTAATGGTACGGCCTTGTTGTGGTCACTGATGGTACGGCCTTGTTGTGGTCACTGATGGTACGGCCTTGTTGTGGTCACTGATGGTACGGCCTTGTTGTGGTCACTGATGGTACGACCTTGTTGTGGTCACTGATGTTACGGCCTTGTTGTGGTCACTGATGGTACGGCCTTGTTGTGGTCACTGATGGTACGGCCTTGTTGTGGTCACTGATGGTACGGCCTTGTTGTGGTCACTGATGGTTGCAGCCTTGTTGTGGTCACTAATGGTACGGCCTTGTTGTGGTCACTGATGTTTTGGCTTGTTGTGGTCACTGATGGGTACAGCCTTGTTGTGGTCACTGATGGTACAGCCTTATTTGTGGTCACTGATGGAGTACGGCCGCGTTGTACGGTCACTGATGGTACGGCCTTGTTGTGGTCACTGATGGTACGGCCTTGTTGTGGTCACTGATGGGTACTGGCCTTGTTGTGATCACTGGTAGGTACGGCCTTGTTTTGGTCACTGATGGTACGGCCTTGTTGTAGGTCACTGATGGTACGGCCTTGTTGTGGTCGCGATGGGTACGGCCTTGTTGTGGTCACTAGTAATTTTTGGCCTTGTTGTAGTCACTAATGGGTACAGCCTTGTTGTGGTCACTGATGGTACGGCCTTGTTGTGGTCTTAATGGTATTGACACTGTTGTAGTCACTGATGGTACAGCCTTGTTGTGGTCACTAATGGGTACAGCCTTATTGTGGTCACTGATGGTACGGCCTTGTTGTGGTCACTGATGAATTTTTAGCCTTGTTGAGTGCTGATGGGTACGGCCTTGTTGTGGTCACTGATGGTACGGCCCCTTTGTTGTGGTCACTAATGGTACGGCTTGTTGTGGTCACTGATGGTACGGCCTTGTTGTGGTCACTGATGGTACGGCCTTGTTGTGGTCACTAATGGTACGGCCTTGTGATTACTAATGAGGGTACGGCCTTGTTGTGGTCACTGATGGTACGGCCTTGTTGTGGTCACTGATGGTACGGCACTTGTTGTGGTCACTGATGGTACGGCCTTGTTATGAGTCACTGATGGTACGGCCTTGTTGTGGTCACTGATGAATTTTGACCTTGTTGTGGTCACTGATGGTACGGCCTTGTTGTGGTCACTAATGGTACGGCTGCTGTTGTGGTCACTGATGGAATTTTTGACCTTGTTGTGGTCACTGATGGTACGGCCTTGTTGTGGTCACTGATGGTACCTTGTTGTGGTCACTAATGGGTACAGCCTTGTTGTGATCACTGATGGTACGGCAACTTGTTGTGGTCACTGATGGTACAGCCTTGTTGTGGTCCACTAATGGTACAGCCTTGTTGTGGTCACTGTAAAACACAAACGAATATAATGTTTATGTTAAGTAGAGTAAAATATATGGTAAGGTGTATGATTTGTGTATGTGTGAGATATATATGTAGTGTGTATGTATATGTATGTATGTATGTATGTATGTATGTATGTATGTATCTATGTATCTATGTGTGTATGTATGTATGTATGTAAGTATGTATGTATGTATGTATGTATGTATGTATCTATGTGTATGTATGTATGTATGATTTGTGTATGTGTGAGTATATATGTAGTGTGTATGTATGTATGTATGTATGTATGTATGTATGTATGTATGTATCTATGTATGTATGTATGTATGTATGTATGTATGTATGTATGTATGTATGTATGTATGTATGTATGTACGTGGTTAAGGAAAACTCTTGTAAACAAACACCACACACAAACTATTAAACCACCAGCCTCAGAACTAACCTTAATAAACTAACTTGGGTAGAGTGTGGTAAGGAGTGTGAAGGTCAGGTTTTAAATAAGAACAAAGTTATTTTACCATGAATGTACTGAACACCTATGAAGTTGTCACAGTCAGTCAGCGACCCAAGACACAGTTATTCTTAAGATGTGTAGGTTTATATGTGAGTGAGAGAGAGAGAGAGAGAGAGAGAGAGAGAGAGAGAGAGAGAGAGAGAGAGAGAGAGAGAGAGAGGGAGGGGGGGGGAGATGGATAGATTGATTCACATATAGAAATACAGTCAGTTAGATTGGCCTAGTCACCATCCTATCCTAACCATAACCTAACCGAACCCTAAACTAAGCTAACCGAACCTAATCTAACCCCAACCTTCAACAAGATGGACTAAGCTATATGATAATACAGACAGGTGACCTTGAGGCAAAACCTGTTATGTTTGTGTCTAGAATCATCAAACAGGTCACATACTTGTAGAGGGCAAGACAGACCCCTTCACACACAAGGTCAAGATTTATTCGAAATTTAACCCCTAAAACAAGTATTTTTTTAAGTGGGTATAAAGTGGTGGAAATGTTAACCAGTTTGCTTTTCTTCATTTAATATCTATATAAAACGCTACAAAAAATATTCAATAAATTTTCTAAATGTACAGAACTTTTAAAAACATTCCCAAGTAATATTATTGAATTTAATATTTTTATAATTTAAAGGACATTTTTGGATTAAATTTTTAAAAAGAAAATCGGGAAAGCTAATTGCTATTGGTGGCCCGAACACAAGAATTACTGTTATACTGGAACACCTTGACCTCTGTTGACCTCTGACCCCGACGAATGACCTTAACCCTCACGAAGGGGATCAGGGAGTTGTTAGTAAGGGCATTTAAACTTTTTTATGAAATATATCGAAAAAGTGAAAGTTTTTTTTTATAAACATGAAGAGATAAAACCTGACATGTATGTATTTTTCCTCACACCTTCCCCACACCTGCACCTCTCCCACACCTGCCCCACACCTGCACCTCTCCCACACCTGCACCTCTCCCACACCTTCCCCACACCTGCACCTCTCCCACACCTGCCCCACACCTCCCCCACCCTCCTCAACGCCACAACCTCTCCCTCCCTAACGCCACACCTACCACACCCTCACCCTCCGCATCTACCACACTCCCACCCTCAACGCCACACCTACCACACCCTCACCCTCCCATCTACCACACTCCCACCCTCAACGCCACACCTACCACACCCTCACCCTCCGCATCTACCACCCACACCACACATACTATCCAATCCACTGAGTATGATGACCTTTAAAACTCTCAATATATCGAGGAATCTAGCGAATATATCACACAGGTATATCACGTTACTAAGAGGCGTCCTCGACTGACAATATCCATAAATTAGTGAGAAAAAACAAACGAGTTGGCCAGGGAGGAGAGATATAATCTGTCAGCCAATCAGAGAGTCGCGTTTGACATCGCCATAAGCAGGTAGGGCCAATCACAGAAACCAGCCAATCAGAGAGTCGAGTATGACATCACGAGAAACAGGTAGGACCAATCACAGAAACACAAGGTGATCTTTCTTGATACCTGGCGGTCTTTCACACGTAATGACGGTGTAATCAGATATTTCCCATCTCGTTTCCACACAATAAAGACCTCCAGAATGTTTAGTTGTTTTTTACTTGTGTTCGTTGTCACAGTGTCGTACTTAGGCTGAGATATTGAACAGTATATTAGGAAATGACCAAATGTTAAGGAATAGTATGGAAGGATTTTATTTTAACTCCAGGATAAACAAGAACAAAAATAATGTAAAATAACAAAAAAAAATCAAACAAATAAATCAGTAACTCCTTAAGAAATTTTAATACAAGAATAACTAGAAACATAACGATAAAATAAATCCTAAACATATGAATAAAAGATAAAATTACAGTAAGAATCATTCATTAATACATACAGACACCACAGTAATATGATCCCTCGGCAAAATACTTACTAAACACACATCTCAATTCTGACCATGCAACCTTCTTCACGTTGTGTTACCCATACACCAACGAGGACTTACACCTCACCAGACCCTCACGTTTGAGTATCTGGCTGAGTGCTGACATATGTGACGTTGTGGAGGGAGACGAAAAAAACAAACCCTGACTTGGAACTCTCATCAAGCTGTACTCGACATCACACAATCATAACACAGTCTGGAGATGCACTGATACCACACGATAATATTCTCCTCGCTGTATACCCAAGAACAAGATAAATGTGACGTTGTAGGATGAAGAAAAACTCAGCAACCATTTCAGTCTGACATCACCAACGGCAGACGAAACATACACGTCATCCTGGCAAGAGAAAACCGAAAGTATTCCCCCGACAAGGAAAAAATAAATAAAAAATTCTGAGTCAATCCTCCAACAGAAATATGAAATCCTGTAGAAAAAAAAATATATATAAGACACGAGATGACGTTAAGGTTCTTGTATCCCAGAGACTATATCACCGGTGCAGGTGTACTGGAGAGCAACATCAGGCGCTGGTGATTGCTCGTGTCGGTGATGTTATTTATTATGGTAGTTGGGAGGGGGAGGGGGAGAGGGGGATTGAACGGCTGCAGGTGGTGAGGAGTTTCCCCATTAAATCCCCCCCCCCCTCCTCTCCGTCTACCTTTCTCTCTCTCACTTCCTCCACAGTCTAGAATGAGGAGGAGAGAGAAGGAAGAGAGGGAAGGAAGGGAGGGGGTGCAAATCGTAAGCCGCTCTCCTACCCGCCTGTGCAGCCTTCCTGTAGTCCGAATTATCAACACAGTATCTCGACACCAAATTGAGTGAAAGACTTAACTCTGAACAACGCTATCTCAAGTGTCTCTCAAGTGTGTCTCAAGTGTGTCTCCTGGGTCTCTCTTTACTCTGGGGAGATACAGACAACTTGGAATGTTGTCTCCTTGGCCCAGCGGAGGGGGAACCTAGACCCACTGAGAATCTTTGACTTGAGTGAGGTTAGGTTAGGTACATCTCCAGTGGAATGAACTGTGTCCTGCGGTATTCCGGCCAATCACGTGTGTGTGTGTGTCATCAGGCATCTGGGGGCGGTCCTCACCCACCCGCCTGGCCACTAACCTTTACCTGAAGGAGAGTTGTACGTATGGTGGCCTGGGGGAGGGGCGACGAGGGTGACGAAGGAGGGCAGGGCAGAGAGGGCGGGGGGGAGGAGAGGAGAGAAAGGAGGAAGACTAAAATGGAAGTAGGGGAGGGAGGAGGTGGGTCAGCAGGGAGGAGGTGGGTCAGCAGGGAGGAGGTGGGTCAGCAGGTAGGAGGTGGGTCAGCAGGGAGGAGGTGGAGCAGCAGGGAGGAGGTGGAGCAGCAGGGAGGAGGTGGAGCAGCAGGGAGGAGGTGGAGCAGCAGGGAGGAGGTGGGTAAGCAAGCAAGCAAAGGACAGAGTGAGAGAGAGAGAGAGAGAGAGCATCAACATGACACAAGAGGTGTGACTGTCTACTGCCAATCAAGAGCCAAGAGCAAAAACACACACACATACACACACACACAACGTTCTTCTTGAGTTAGACTGGACGATGACTGTACTGTTCGCAAGAAGGAAGAAAGCAACAAACAAACAAAAAAGAAAGACTATAGACAAACTAAGAGACCGAAATAAATAAACAAAACAAATAATTAAATCAGTTACCCTTTCATTTTTTTTTAGACTAAATTTGACTTAGCACCTTCAGCTGCTTAACTCGTATCAGTGTTTGTTGCCTCCTTACTGTTCATTAGTTCTCAAGTGGTATTTCCTTATTCTAATTCCTGTCTCATATATCACCACTCATTGTTTGGTTAGTGATGCCCCCTCGCCTTAACCACTGTGTTGGTCTTGGAGTGGGGTGGTGGAGTGGGGTGGTGGAGTGGGGTGGAGAAGAGGGGGGGGGGAGGTGCTTTTCACTCTGCCCTGTCCTGATTGTCCACTTTGTCTATATTTCCTTTTTTTTTATTTTTTTATTCGTATTTGACACATGTGGAATATAATAATAATAATAACCCAAACACCAGTCTCACCCTCAACACCTCTTAACGTAAGTCTCAGAGGCAGTATCACGTACAACCCACACAACAAAACAATAAAATAAACAGACTAAAGATCATACGTGTAACAAAAGTTTTAAAATTCCACATTCATGGTCAGTTGGGAGAGCAAGGGTCCAAAAACTCGCCAGGAATTCCTCAAGAAGTGGCAAGAAGTTGTCGTGTTTACCTGCGGGCTGTCGTGTCTGCCAGCGGTCGTCCACTAACCCTTTACAAGTGGACCCATGGAGCCACTCTCTTCTCTCTTGGTGGTACAGTAGCTCCCACACTATAGCCCTAGACGTCAAAAGAAGTGTCCTGTATTCCAGTAAGTGCTTTTAGTGTACTACAGCAAATATTCTGAAATTTTACAGGTCGTTTAGTGCTCGAAACGCAATAGTAAAACCTGTAGTAATACGAAGTTGTTGTTTCACTCTACAGACTGGACCACACAGATGATGGAAGTTGTTGTTGGTTCCTTACATTCCTCAATTGTCCTTTCAATCCTGGAGGAGTAGTGACAAGTCGTACTGTCGTCATGGGGTAATATATCCCCCTGGTGGACGCCGTGTTGTAGTCAGGGGCATTGTTACGTCCTCACAACGGAAGAGGTGACGGTGAAGCAGCACTATGAACAGCATCGGCAGCAGAAACAGAGGCGACAGCAACAACAGCAGGAGAATGAGCAGCAGGAGCAGGAGGGGCAGGAGTTACCGCGGGGTGTGACGACCACCACGACCCAGAGGCAACGCCCAAAGCCCGGATATTCTTACACCCGGACAGGTACATAACTTAACACCCCGATACTGGCCTCGTGATACTCCCTGACGCGGATCATTCCAGTTGACCCAGCTGGTCCTACCTGCCTACCGCTACCACCTGACCAACATTCCTCGCCGCCGCTACTATGCTACACCTCAGTTCACCTGACCTCACCAATTACAAAATTCTCGATCATCCGATATCAAGTGCACCAGACACCCCGAAAGCTGATCTTAGTTGTAGATGACCTCGTCTGACCCCAGCTGGTGAGTAGATGACCTCGTCTGACCCCGGCTGGTGATTTCATGACCCCATAAGACCGCAGGTGTTTAGTGATGACCTCATCGGATCAGAGTAAATTACCTCACCAACTCCAGCTGCAGAATAGATGAACTTAAGTGACCCAAACTATTGAGCAAATACCTTTAACTAGCTCCAGCTGTTGAATAAATGACCTTAATTAACCCAGCTTTGGAGAAAACGACCTCAACTAACCCCAGCTGTTGCTTAGACGACCTCAAATGACCCACAGCTGTTGCTTCACATATATCTCAGCTGACCGCGGTCCCTGAACAGATAACCTTAAGTGACCTGAGCTACCCCCACTGTCTGGACACAGCCTGACCTATAAAAGCCCCCTCCCCCCCTTTCCCCTACCTGGCCGTGTCGCAACCACAACAGCGAGATGAACAAGGAGACGACCAACATGGAGATGGTGTAGACAGCGTCGGGAAGTTATATAATAGGGTGGACACACACACACACACACACACACACCTATAGGTCCTTCTACAGCGTCCATACAACACCGCCATCAACAACAACCGGAATGTTAATCTTCCTAACTTAATGACTTTGACACTCTCTCCCGCACTTCGCTGATATATTTTTGTTCCCTCCTTCTTCCCTCCCGCACTTCGCTGATATCTTTTTGTTCCCTTCTTCTTCCCATTATCATCATCATCGCCGCACTGCTCACCCTCATCAGAACAAAAGGCAGGACGTAAACCAACACCCATCAAGTGAATCCCCGACTCGACGATCACATAAATCTATCCCAGCATCAACCATCGACACTGACTACCTTGATCTACAGCCCGATAAATACAGAAACGCCACAGCAACATCAATAGACGCCGCCCCGCCCCAGCCCCGCCCCGCCCCAGCCCCGCCTAACCCTCATCTCACCAGTCTTCATTAAGGCAGAATTGTATCGACCAGCCCGGGAAGTTGACGAGACAATGAGGATTTAAATATAATCAAGGTTGAGTCTTTGAGAATCAGGAGTGGAATATTATTTTGTTTTCCCCTAACCTAACCTAACCTAACCTAACTATCCCACAACAATTATGAGGTCACGTGTCACACATCTACACCATCCATCACCATACTGGGAAAAAAACAACAGCTCCTATTCGCCACTCATATAACCATACTAGGAGGAAAAAAACTTTGATCCAACTGGGGAAAAAAATCAATAGTATCTTCTCCCGAGATCAACATACTAGGAAAAAATCGCCTAAAAAAATATAAACAATCAAAATCAATAAAATTTAATCATCTGCAAATTTAAAAACTAAAATTATAATTAAAGAAAAAAATTAATTAAGTATAAATATATAAATGAGTTATACAATACCTGGAAAAATTATAAGATAAACAAAAAAATATCACCCCAAATTAAACCAGACAGACCTCCACTCAACACACGTGAACCGGTCATTTGGGAACTGGTCTCAACCCCACTATGGAAGACCCCGAATTCCGAACCCCGAATCCCAGTACCGAATCCGAATCCCAACCATGAACCCTGAACCCCAAATCCCGAACCCAGACTCCGAACCCCAACACCCAAACCCGAATCCCAAATCCCAAAACCACGAACCCATACATAAATAAAAAAACAAAGCTCTAGGATCAATTCAGAAAGGTTCGGGGTTCGATTGAGGGTTCTAGGAAGGGATTCACTTGGATCCAGGTGAGAGGATTGGGATTGGAGGTGAGGTGAGGATTCCTGAGAGTGTTGATGTGTGTCATCAGATACACCTGACACTATACGGGGTGAGGGGGGGGAGCTACCTTAATTACAGGAGCGCCTCTTACCTGACACCTCCACGAGAGAGAGAGAGAGAGAGATAGAGAGAGAGAAACGAGTCAAGTGCAGAAATGAAAATACTGAGGAAAAAAAACTCAGCTCCTGACCAAAAAGGGAGAGAGAAAGAGAGAAGGGGGGGACAGTAGTGTAAGAGCAGACAAAGACTAAGGATGAAAAGAGAATGAAAACGAGAGAGAAAAAAGGAACAAAGAAACAATCAAAAGACGAAAGAAAAAGAGGAGACAAAGACTGAGAATTGAGAACACGACAAGGGGGAGTGAAGCAAGGGGGTGAAGCTAGGGGTGAAGCTAGGGGGTGAAGCAAAGGAGTGTGAAGCAAGGAGTGTGTGAAGTAGGAGGAGTGAAGCAAGGGGGTGAAGCTAGCGCTAGCGAAGCAAGGGAGGTAAAGCAAGGAAGTGAAAAAGGGGAAAAAGGAAAGGTGTAAAGCAAGGGGATTTAAATAGGAGGTGAGGCAAGAATAGTGAAGCAAGAGGCAAAACACTCAAGATGAATCAAGAAAATTGAAGCAAGACGGGTGTCACTGGTGCAGTATAAGTTAAAGATGACACACACACACACACACACACACACACACATAAAAACGAAAACAATTTAGTCTTTCAATTACAGTAGACGAGGTGATGGCTCCCCCTTTACGAGTACTTCTGAAGATATTGGATCACACTTGCCCTCCCCTTCCCTTCCTTCCCCCTCCCCTCCCTTTCCTTCCCCCCCCCCTCGATTATCACCCTCTCTTCTTTCTTCAATTCTTCATTTTTTTTAATCTCCTACCTCCTCTTTTTTTATTTCTTCTCCACTTCTTTTTCCTTTCTCCCTCCTCTTCCATTTATTCTCTCCCTCTTCCTTCTTCCTCATCCTCCATTTCTATTACTCTTTCCCTCCTCTTCCTTCTCTCTCCTTCTCACCTTTCTCAAATAACACTTTATCAAAACATCACCTAACATGGAACATCATAATCTAACAACAGAACAATTAAACGAAGGTAAGGAAAACAGAAACCGTAATTAAAGGTGACATAAACCAGGTGCTGAAGTCCCATTACTCTACCTAATTACCTAAATTATTTCACCAATGTCTTGTGAATTAATTGCTTGAGTTGGTTTATCTCTTAAGTTAATCACTGTAAATGGGTCACAATAATGGTGGGATTAAATCAACTTTATCTGAATACTCTGAGAGAAGCAGGTGATTATCTGAGTTAATCTTCTAAATTAATCTCTTGAATTAAATAACACTAATCTTATGGTTGACTCGGGTGAATTGTTTTTTATTCTAATCGTCTATATGAATCATGTTTATTTTATCGTAGGAATCTTCTGCCTGAACCAGTTAGTTGTAATATATATATCACAACATAAAGTCTCGTTACGTGGGGCCTTAATAAGATCACCTGAACATTTTGATTGACTCTAAGAATTAGTTTGTGTTTCTCCTCAACAAACTCCTTGAATAAGTTGTAATCTTGGGAATCAACCAACAAATCACCTTACACACCTGAACGACTCCTTTTAATTACCTTCTGAAAAACTTCTTAATTGACTCTCGTTTTACCTGATTTAATAATGTTTATATAATATGAAAGACTTACCTTTAATAGTTGAACAGAAACTTAGAAACACTCACCTGAATCTCCTGGATGAGCTCCTGTTCGTCGAGCAGCACCACCTTACAGTGGTAAGTTCGATTTTTGTCTCCGAAACACTTCATCTTGAGACGCTCTTCGAACCACGGAAAAAAAAGAAGAAAAGAGGAAGGTGTCCAGGCAGTGTGGAGCGAGGGTGGAGGCGCCTGGGTGGTGGAGAGAGGCGTTAGTGCTGGGGAGAGAGGAGGAGGAGACGGAGGAGGCACTGAGAGAGGAGTGAGAGTGTGGATGTGGAGAAGCGGTTCCTCGAGGAGTCAACCACAGGGTCCGTCGGGCACCCCGGTAACTCTTATCCGTTTTGCACCATTTTTCTTTCTGAAATGAGAAACAAAGAAAGATGTTAGTTAAAATTGTCCACGATGAACACAACAGAAAAATAACGCCACATTGTTGTTTAGTTCTGCACCTTGAGCCTTATAACCACGTGACCCAAATTAAGTTTGTCCATGGCCGCTAATCTATGACTAGGTAAAGATTCATTTAAAAAAAAACATTAGTGTTATCTTGATGAAGTACATAACATAGACTCTAGCTATTCCAGCAGGTATAATCTCTCAACTCTGTTCCCAGTGTTAGTAAACACACTTGACGCACACCTCCCTGTCTTTACCCTCAATCCCCCCAACTGCACAAAGTTTTCGGAAGTGAACCAGCCGTCGGCTTTCCCCTGAGTCCACTCCAGCACCCACTTTCTTTTCAAGTTCTTTGTAAGACCGCAATGTCTTCAAGGATCCTCAGTCAATACCCAATATCTCTGGGACCACTCCACCACCATCTCGTCCTCCACCACCTCCAGTAAACACTCCAGTTCCTCTACGCCAAAAACCTCTCGAGAGCCTTTATAGAGTTTCTTTACCTCTTTTATTTTAAACTCACACTGCCAAGCTGAGTCAAGTGATCATATCCGGTTTTGTTTGGATTTTTGTTGGTCATAATTCACAGCTGGTCCCTCTCACAGCCCAGGGATCATCACTACACAGCTGGTCCCTCTCACAGCCCAGGGATCATCACTACACAGCTGGTCCCTCTCACAGCCCAGGGGTCATTACTACACAGCTGGTCCCTCTCACAGCCCAGGGGTCATCACACAGCTGGTCCTCTCACAGCCCAGGGATCATCACTACACAGCTGGTCCTCTCACAGCCCAGGATCATCACTACAGCTGGTCCCTCCCTTGGGGATCACTACACAGCTGGTCCCTCTCACAGAGGTCAACACTCACAGCTGGTCCCCTACAGCCATAATAAACCCCTCTCCTTGATTACCTCGCTCCTAATAGCCCCCCTCTAATGTTTCCTCACGTCAGCTATTTTGGTTTATTTCTAAATACCCAAAACTAGCCTCAACTAATTTAATGCTAATGTACTGTAAAAAAAACTCATAATGGTGATGAAAATGAATTTGTTACTAATCCCTCCATGAATAAATAAATAAATAAGTTGGGACTAAGCTTCACCTTCCCTCTAATGTGAAAAAAATAGTTTGATTCCTAATGTGATATTAATGTGTTGCCACGTTACATAGAGTTGATATATGGCATAGAAATAAAATATACAGAAACTATAACGTTACCTACACCACCACCACCATCACCACCATCACCACCACCAGCACCATCACCACCAGCACCACCACCACCACCATCACCACCACCACCACCACCAGCACCATCACCACCACCACCACCAGCACCATCACCACCAGCACCACCACCATACATCACCACCACCACCACCACCACCACCATCACCACCACCACACCACCACACCACCACCAGCATCATCACCACCACCACCACCACCACCACCACCACCACCACCATCACCATCACCACCACCACCCACCCACCCCACCACCACCACCACCACCACCAGCACATCACCACCACCCACCACCACCACAACCACACCACCACACACATCACCCACCACCACCACACACCACCACACCATCACCACCACCACCACCACCAGCATCATCACCACCAGCACCACCACCACCACCACCACCATCACCACATCACCATCACCACCACCACCACCACCACCACCACCACCACCACCATCACCATCACCACCACCATCACCACCAGCACCACCCACCACCATCACCATCACCACCACCACCACCATCACCACCAGCACCACCACCACCACCATCACCATCACCACCACCACCATCACCACCACCACCATCACCATCACCACCACTACCACCACCACCACCATCACCACCACTACCTCGGCAAGACTCATGCTGGGACCCACACACTCCAGTTTAACACACTCATTCCAACATATTGACTTTGTAAACCTTCCTTCCCTTACTGCCTGGTTTATGTGTAACCGTGTGTGCTCGCTCTCTCCCTCTCTCTCACTTTCTATCTAAATCTCTCTCTTTAAATCTCCCAGTCTCTCTCTCTCTCTCTCTCTCTCTAAATCTCCCAGTCTCTCTCTCTCTCTCTATGTGACATTTCAAGAAACTTTTACAAGATTTCTGTACAAAATTAAACAAACAAAAACAAACACGCATCACGGCCCTAATAACAAGATAATCGTTGTTATAAAAAATCAAAAAAAATCCCAAAGATAATTACTCACTTATCGGCAAAGTTCACGCTCCAGCCAATCAAAACTCAGATTCTTGCCTAAGGCCTCCTCTAATATGTGATTTGATTGGCGGATATTACAAAGTGTCAACATTCCCGACACCTGTCAGTTACAGTAATGACTTTTGGATCAGGTTTCATAGATGATATTTCTCGATGGCCAATACATCCAACAGCAACAACAACAATAACAACAACAAAAACAACAAAACAGCAACAACAACAATAACAACAACAAAAACAACAAAACAAGAACAACAACAATAACAACAACAAAAACAACAGCAAAACAACACAAACTGTTCTATGACTTGACTTTGATTCTCTGTCTCTCTATATCTTCTTTTATTATCCCCATCTGCCTCTCCTCCTCCTCCTTCATTTAATATTCTCCTCTCCTTCCTTCCTCCCCCACTTTATTTTCCTCCTCTATCTTCTTGTTCGTCTCCTTCTCTTTAATAGTATTATTATTCACCTCATTCTCTCCCATCTTTCTTCCTCCCCCTCCTCCTCTCCTTGTTTATCTCCTCCCTTTGTGTGTCCATCTCTCTCCCTAGTCTCCCTCCCCCGTCATGTCTTGTGGTGAGAAAGAGAGAGAGAGAGAGAGTGACCAAGCCATCACCCACCTGTCACCAAGTAATTAATGTTTTACCTACCCATTTCCTCTCCCTACCTCACCCCCCTCCTCTACCTTATCCCCCCCCCTCAGTCACCATAGCCCTTCATCTCACCTCCCTCCCTTCCCTCAAACCTCTCTCCCTCACTACCCTCCTTCTCCAACACTCAAGCTGATGATGGTTTTTGAGTCTCCTTCCTCCCCCAAACACTCACTATTTTCCTCCTCCTCCTTCCTCCCATCCTCATCTCCTCCACCCTCTCCTTCCTCCCCCATACATAAGACAGAGAGACAGACAGACAGGCAGACAGACAAAGCAACAGACGACGTCAAGAGAGTGAAACCCGTCACCGTGGGAAGAAACATTCTCTTAGTCAACTTGAGATAATATTTCAAAAAACTCGATCTAAGCCACAGTCGATCCTGCTGTCACTCTCCCTCCCTCCCTGTTGTCACTCTCCCTCCCTGCTGTCACTCTTCCTTCCTGCTGTCACTCTCCCTTCCTGCTGTCACTCTCCCTTCCTGCTGTCACTCTCCCTTCCTGCTGTCACTCTTCCTTCCTGCTATAACTCTCCAAAAATCACCTGTAGTAACCCCCCAAATTTTTATACCCCCCGTCCCATCACCTGAAACTTCACCTACCGCCACCTTCCTTCACCTGAATCTTCCCGTCACCTAGTATCTGCACCGTCAGGTTGATCAGTACTAGCACCTCGTAGGGTCCTTCAGTACCTCCTCCCAGGTAAACTAAGTACCTGCCAGGAGTCTCGTTACTTGTGGTGTCACCTCAAGTGAGTCTTTCCTCCTAGACTGTGGCCACCTTATCAAGCAGGTATACCTAATTAGGCACTTCATTACCACACCTGAGAACACCTGCCTACCTTGCCAACTCTCTCAACTATCGTCACCATCGATATCTACTTACGATACCCCCTCCTCCTACAGCCAGGTGACATGCTATATAGGTTCCCCTTTAATGAGTCTATGTTTATATCGTTGGCTAATTAGTATACCATCATGAGGCCCTCTGACCTCCCCGAGTGCCTTATCTTACCTGCTCCGACCTTCCACACCGACACCTGATCTCTCACCGGATTGAATTTCGTCCAAGATACTGTCCAAAGTCGTTTATAATAACCCTTTAAAGAGCAAGTGAAACGACCAGGCTTGTTAGGTCGTGTTTAAGTCTCCGTCGTGCTGCTACGAGTGGGTTCAAGGTACGCTAATCCACCACTCACTAATCCTTAACTAATCCCTTAATCATCACCACGACAATAATACCAATATACTTCTATCATCATCACTCAACCCACACGTCAGATAAACCTCGAATCCTTCACACCACCACTACCACCCCTCCACTACCACCCCTCCTCTACCACCCCTCCACTACCACCCCCCACTACCACCCACTACCACCCCTCCACTACCACCCCACTACCACCCCTCCACTACCACCCCTCTCTACTACACCCCTCCACCACCTCCACTACCACCTCCCACTACCACCCTCACCACCCCACCTCTACCACCCTCTCCTACCACCCCTCCACCCACCCCCTCCTCTACCACCCCTCCACCACCCCTCCACTACCACCCCACCCCTAACCCACCCCTACCACCTCTACCACCCTCCACTACCACACCCCTCCACTACCACACCCCACCACTACCACCCCTCCTCTACCACCGCCTCAGAAGCCTCCTCAGACGGTCATTACCTCCTCTACACCAGCCCTGTGCCGCCACCCAAATACATGACTATCAAACAGTCATCACAACTCCTGAATCATCACTCTCCTAAGCCTACTTCGACCTCTCTCACCTCTACACACACACCCACACGCATACAAACATACACACACACACCTCGGTTCCCACAACACCCATTACTTCTAGGCCAATGGTATCCCAAAACACCATTGAATTGATTACTCTACCTGGTCCTACCGTTCCAGCTCCGGTAAGGGTTCTACCTGGCACACCCCCTACCCCTCGTCACCGCTCCTCCCCTACCCTCCCTCGCTTAGGCTACACCCCTCATCTACACTATAATTTTCAGCCATCCTTGTTGCCATTTCAAATCT